TTGTTACTGTGTTTGGCATATCAAATACGTCATGGATAGCTTGCCAGGCTTTGCCGTGTGGGCGAGATACTCTTGGTAGCTTGCCGGGCTCTCAGAGAGGGGCAGAGGAATCGAACCCGGCTCGGTCAGGCCGGCTGCACACAAGGCAAATGCCCTACCTCTGTGCTATCGCTCCAGCCCTTACATATGATGAATAAAACTAATTTAAAAGAAAAACATTTTACAAAACAGAAAAAGCCTAGGAAAAATAGAGCATATTTTTCACAGTTAACAAAACAAATTCAAGACACAGACACAAAAACTGAACTCAACATTAAATGCAAGAAGTAATGCAAATTAAAACCACAAGAAACTACTGCACTCTGCTATGCTCTCTAATATATTCTGGCTGCAAATTAAAAAGACAGACAAGGGCCGGAGCGATAGTACAACGGGCAGGGCATTTGCCTGGCATGCACCTGACTTAGGTTCAATCCCCGGCATCCCATATGATCGCACTGCCAGGAGTAACTCCTGAGTAGGTGTAACTCCTGAGTACAGAGCCAGGAGTAATCCCTGAGCATAGCTGGGTGTGACCCAAAAGGAAAATAAAAACAAAATACAGGAAAGACTAAGTATTTTGAAGATAAAGAAAAGGTAATATATATAAAAGGTCATATATATGTATATATATATATATAGAGAGAGAGAGAGAGAGCACTGTAGCACTGTTCTCCCATTGTTCACTGATTTGCTGAAGCGGGTCCGGTTACGTCTCCATCATGAGACTTGTTGTTACTATGTTTGGCATATTGAATACATAACAGGTAGCTTGCCAGGCTTTGCCATGAGGGTGAGATACTCTCAGTAGTTTGCCAGGTTCTCCGAGAGGGGCAGAGGAACCGAACTCGGGTCAGCCGGGTTGACCACGTGCAAGACAAACACCCTACCACTGTGCTATCGCTCCAGCCCATATATATATGGGAGCTATATAGGCTGGAGTGATAGCACAGCGGTAGGGCGTTTGCCTTGCACGCAGCCAACATGGCCGACCCGAGTTCGATTCCTCCGCCCCTCTCGGAGAGCCCGGCAAGCTACCGAGAGTATCTCGCCCGCATGGCAGAGCCTGGCAAGCTCCCCACGATGTATTCGATATGCCAAACACAGTAACAACAAAGTCTCCAATGGGGACGTTACTGGGCCCACTCGAGCAAATATATATATAGGAATATAAAATGGTATGATAGCATAAAAACAATTTAAAAATCTCTTAAAATTATCAACAGAAACTTAATACAGGAGTTTACAACTGCACCCCTGGAAATCACCCTAGGGAAATAAAGACATGGTTACACTAAGACCCTATGATGTTTATTTCAGTATTTTACATTATAGCCAACACTGCGAAATAATCCCAACATCCAGGGCTATAGAGGGAATTACAGCCAACAGGGAACTTATTGGCTGTAATAACCCAGGTTTAACCCCCAGTACTGCATCTGGTCCGCTGAGCACTAACAGGAGTGATCCCTGAGCACAGAGCCAGAGGCAACCCCTGAGTACTGCCAAGTGTGGCGAAAACATCAAAAAAAAAAAAAAAAAGAAGAAAGAATCCTAACATTTGAAAGTAAATGAATAGACAAAAAGAATGGTAGATCCATTCATTAATTTAAAATATAAGGTTACATTGCTAAAGTAAAATATAACTATCTTATAATGGTCTCAAATTATATAGAAAAAAAAATCTGACACAAATATCTATTCCTGATTAAAAAAAACAGACAACAAACTATCCAACAAAGTAGGACTAGAAGAATAGTTCCTAAACCTGATAAAAGTATCTAGGAAAAAGTGACATCATATTCAAAGTGAATGACTGAATTCTTTCCCTCTAAGATCAAGAAGAATAATATTTGCAGGCTCACACCATCTTTCATGTTAATAAGGAATGCAGTATGACACAAAAGATAGATAAATCAAAGGCATTCATAAAGGAAAGAAATGAATCAAATTCCAGTATTAATGGAAGACATTATTGATTATGTAGAAAATATGATGCAATGTACCAAAAAAGGTCTGTAGTTTAACTTCAAAAATATATGATCAAAATAAAAATCATCTGTAGTTAAATAGACCAGAAATGATGAGAGGGGGATTCTTTGAAAAATATTTTAGGGGTTTCGGAGAAACTCAAAGGACTGGAGCAAAGCCTTGCATACAGGAGAATCTGAGACTGATGTCCCATACTGTACTCCAGGTACTGCTGGGTATAGCCTGAGTGGCCCATCGAGATCACCAGGGTGGTGGTTGGGGGGGAGGGGCACACCATTGAGCTTGAGGAGGATCTCATGGCCACGCCCAAGTACTAAACTGTCCCCAGCCCATGTAGACAGAGTATTGTCTGGATGGTCCCCCAAAATCAAAAGTTAAACTATTTTCGAAAAGATAAAATTATGTAAGGTAAGGAATAAATCTGACAAACTATGAAAAACTTGCAAAGTGAGAACTGCCAAATAATTCTACTTTTGTTTTGGGTTTGGGGCCATATCCGGTAATGCTCAGGGCTTACTTCTGTTTGACTCTTGACTCAGGGATCACTCCTTGAGGGGCTAAGGGGATCATATAGGATGCTAGAGACCAAACCTACTGTAAGAACTTTACCCACTGTACTATCACTCCAGCCCCGATATTTCTGATAATAATTATCTGTTGTGCTTTAATATAACAAATGAAATTCCACATTTAAGTTCCATGCAACAATATGTGTGAATTTTCAAAAACCACATACCTGAAATTTTATATGCTATGAAGCAACAGGAAGGAAGGGAGGGAGGGAGGGAGGGAGGGAGGGAGGGAGGGAGGGAGGGAGGAAGGAAGGAAGGAAGGAAGGAAGGAAGGAAGGAAGGAAGGAAGGAAGGAAGGATGGATTAAAAAGGGAGGATGGGAGAAAAAATAAGGGTAGACAAGAGGGAGAAAGGAGGGAATGAATGGAGGGAAAGTGGGATGCAGGGCACGAAAAAAAGTAAAAAAGTAAAAAGAGGTATACTATGTTCAAAAGTCAGATAATTGACAGAAAACTCACTAGAGTTAAAATAGGATTTATTACCAAATCTATCTATGAAATAAACATAATCCCAACCCAAATTTATTCTTTTTCACAAAATGGATAAGCCTCTTCTAAAATTCATATGGATACAGAAAGGAAATGAAGAAGACAAATGAAATTCAAAAAGGACAAAATTAAAAGATAAATATGACATTCTTTCAAGAGGTCTTTTATAGCTAAGATATTGTGACAGTGCTATACTGGCATAAAAATAATTTTAAATCTTGCATAATATTTGCTCGGGCTGGAGCGATAGCACAGCGGGTAGGGCGTTTGCCTTACAAGCGGCCAACATGGCCGACCCGAGTTCGATTCCTCCGCCCCTCTCGGAGAGCCCGGCAAGCTACCGAGAGTATTCGATATGCCAGACACAGTAACAACAAAGTCTCCAATGGAGACGTTACTGGGCCCGCTCGAGCAAATCGACGATCAACGGGAGGGCCTTTACCTTTACCTTTACCTTGCATAATATAAAGAAAAAATTAATTTTTAAAGAACTCTAGAGTTAATTTGAAAACTCAAAAGTTAAACATTCCAGAAGTAAATGCAGAGGGAAATCTTTGACTTTAGGTTAGGTGAAGATTTCTAAAAGAATAATTTTAAAAGTTGAATATCATCTAAATTAAAAATTGCTCAGGTGCCAAAAGAGATAGTACAAAGACCCAGTGGCTTGCCTTGCACTCAGTCAAGGTCAAGTCTATCCCTGGCAGCCCAGGGGGTCTGAGCACTGCCAGGAACAATCCCTGAATGTAGAGCCAGGAGTAAGCCGTGAGCACAGCCAGGTGTGACCCAAAACCCCCACCATAGAAATTACTCTGCAATGAAAACAGTTAATAAAATTAAGTTTGAAAGTAGAAAAGAGTTTTTACAAATCACAGATAAAGGATTTGTATCTGAAAAGGAAAATAACCTGAAAACTCCTTTTGTTCCATAAAAGCTGAGGAAACATTATTAGAATTCCATTTTCCTCATATTTTCCCTATTTTGTAGTCTTGAAAATTCCCAACCACTTGAAATGATGGGGCACTCCAATTCATGATACACCGTTTCCTTTTTCAAGTTTTATTTTATTAAACACCAGGAATTAGAAAGTTATTCATAGCTGGGATTTTGATATACAGTTTTCCATCACCAATCCCACCACCAGTGTCAATTTCCCTCCATCAGTATTCCCAGATTCCCTCTTCAATATGAAAACAATCTAACAAAGAAGCTAACATATTTACACATAATTTATGAAATAAAGCATTCATAATTCAATCGCATGAAAAGATGCTCAGAGACACAAATCATTAGGTACTGTTAGTAAAATGCAAATAACATATGAATAAGAAGCCACTACACATCCATCAGAGTAAAACTAAAAAGAATAGGTATGCAAAGAGATAAGTATGCAAGTAAGAACTTACAGTGGTACAACAATCTGGGAAAATGGTATTTCATTTCAAAACAACATAGATCTAACATATAATAAGAAGACTGTACAAATATTTCACAAAGTCGGTACAGCTTTTTGGTAAAGACCCAAATTTTTCCCTATAATAATCTATCACGGAATATTGTTTTTAATTTAATCATAATGAAAAAGACTACACTAAGATTCAGTAGACTTTTTCTCTAGTTTTATATTTTGTATGTGCTTAAAGAGAGATCCCTTGCTATTTTACTCCCTAAAGTGGAAAACAATGCATCAAAAACAATTAAAACAATACAGTGAAAGACGCTGTCTGCCTGAGTGATATCTCTATTATTAATAGATACACATGCATATATCTGAAATCATGTAATAAAACAATGCAAATGGTATCTAGCATAGTAATAACATTAATAACTGTTCAAGAAGACATTTATTATCTACAAAACCACCTGAAAAGTCAACATAAACCAATTATCTAAAATAAAAATATATACTCACAATAGCACGTTCCTCTAAGTGGATTGCCAACATAGCGATTTTCAGAATCACATCTGCAGAAATTAAAAAGCTCATTTACTCTTAAGTACAAAATTCAAGTCTGTTTTTCTTTAAGCAAAAAAGTAATTAAACTCTACATTTAAAAAGTCTTAAAAACTACATCATTAAAAACTTTAAAGCTACACTATTAAAGTTCTAAAACAGCTTCTTTATAAGCATGAGTGACAAATACGCAAATAGAGAAGACAAATATACACCAGAGCATTACAGGTGATATTGCAAGGTGGAATAAGATTATAAATTTGGAGACACATTTTTCCTTAATAATGTAGAAGGTGGTACAGAGAGATAGTGCAGGGGGGTTGGTGCTTGCCTTGTACACAGTCAATCTGGTTTAGACCTCTTGGCACCCCACGTGGTTCCTGAGATGCCCAGAGTGATTCCTGAGTAAGCCCTGAGCACGCTCAGGTGTGCTCATCCCCCCAAAAATGCAGGAGGCATTGAAAGTCTAGATAAAGGTTTTATGGACTTTTTAGGTAAAGGGATCACTGTCACTGACTGTCACTGTCCTCCCGTTGTTCATCAATTTGTTAGAGCGGGCCCAGTAATATCTCCTCTGTGACACTTGTTACTGCGTCTGGCATATTGAATACATCACGGGTCGCTTGCCAGGCGAGACACTCTCAGTAGCTTGCCGGGCTCTCCGAGAGGGGCAGAGGAATCAAACCTGGGTCGGCCAGGTTGGCCGCACCGCGTGCAAGGCAAACATCCTATCTGCTGTGCTATCGCTCCAACCCAGGTAAAGGGATAAGTTCACAGAATTCATAAATCTACCTAATTTTCTAAATCCTGACATTCTGTGGATTAATATATTTTTCTTCAGTTGCAATACCTATGAACCTGTTTTTTTTAAAAAAAAAAAAAGTTTCCAAGTGTAGAATGAAACATGTTTTCTCTGCATTTTTCAATGGTAGCTTCTAAATTCATGTCAATAGTGTTATAAAAACATAAGCATTCTAATTCATGAATTCTAAATTTAATGTAACAAAATTACAGTTAACTATAACAGTGGGGAAAACTAATTTTATAAATTCTGAAGTTTCTATTTTTCAAATTTCTGTCTCCAGAATTCAATTATAATGATGCTAACTAGTATCTAATAGGTATTGTTTGGTTTTATACAATACTACTTCTTGCACATGCTCCAAAATACCAGATAACTGATCAGTGAAACTCAGTATTTAAATTGTGTGCGAAACATTCTACTGAAAAAAAAAAGTCTTTAGTTTTAGTAACTAATTAGACTGAATAATTATCTGTATACATAATTTAAGAAACTAGGTGAAAAAATAAGCTAAATAAAAAGGCACATTCAACATGTCTTTTTCGGTCTCGTGTTTGCTGGCTTTTATATGCATGCAAAAGGAGTTAAAGAATAAATCTTTTCTACACTATCCACAAAATTAAACTAGAAAGATGTTAGTCCTTTAATACCACTGACTTTATCTCTGTGAAACAAAGGCATTCTGGAGGTTAGGATTTTTTGTGACTTCTCCAAAATTGGTAGCAGCTCAAAATGTATAAAATAGAGCAGTGCTATAACTTTAGAAAAGAACCATGCTCATTCTTGTTGAGTTTCAAATCAGAGCATGTTTCTTTTCCCCTAGATTATTGTTCCTTGTCTCATTAACTCCTATCACTTTTGTACTAAGCATATATATGCCAAAGGATTCATTTACATACACTGTTATAATTATGCTTTCCATCATAAAAATAAACCTGAATTCAGATCCCAAGACACCATTTCTCCCCCATTAGATCGCCAATTTTCCAAAACGTATCAATACACTGTGCTTACAAGCCTATGAGAAATAGGCTGGCTGTACACTGCTGGAGAGAATGCAGAAAAAAAGGGCCCTGTGGAAGACAAGCAAAGGGGCCCTCTAACAAAATTACAAGGGCATTTATTCTTCAACCCAGAAAATCCCACTTCTATCACATTTAAGAGAAACTCCCAATAAAATGAAAACACATGTGTGCACAAATATGTCCCCCACAGCACCATTTGCAACACTGTAATACTGGAGAAAAATACCTAAATGTCTAAGTGTAAGAGAGGTGCTAAGGAATGCGATACATACACATGATGGCACAAACACATGATGGATTATGGTATATACACATGATAGATTAACACGCATCTTTAAACAAAAGCAAAGGAAAAGTGTGCAAGGTCCTTATAAACAGATATAAATGCATCTACCAAGGCACTCACTGAATAAAAATAAAGATATATTCATAGTACATAGTACACAGTATACATAGTACATAAGATAATAGATATTAAAATCTCGCATTGTATATATGCAAAAAATCATTTAAATAGCATTGCCCTTACTAAAAGAAATGAAGGAAAGATAAATCAGAAAATGAAGTTTTCTACCTAGAGGAGAAAGGAGAAAAGGGGCAGTAATAGGAGTAATTTTTAATACTTTCATCATTTGGAGTTTTTTTTTTTTTGGCTAAGCTCAGAGCTTGCTGCTGGCTCTGTGATCAGTGGTCACTCCTGACAGAGGAGCTTATGTGGCCCTGAGGAGCCAACCAGGTCAGCCCTGTGTAAGTCAAGGCCATTACAACGGGAGGACAGTGCTACAGTGCAGTGCTAATTTGAATGATTTTAAAAGCAACTGTATTTGTTCTACTTTCCATAACACTAAAGTAATAAATTACCATAAATGGAATTACTTTATTCAACACCTGTTTGCTATGTTACAATTCCTCGGGGTCAGGCCTAGGCACAGCAGAGCTGGAATCTCCTCCTCAACCTGAATAGAATGAAACCATGGTGTTCTCTGGAATCGGACTTCACCTGTAGGGCTACTCCGAGGCTTGAGTTGGGGTCTTTAGGGTTACATCAAAGGCCGGACTAGGAAACTGCTTCTATGCTCCCTCGTGAGATAGCAGTTAGAGCACAGTAATGGGAGTGACATGCCATCACCTTTGCCAACTCATGTGACCAGGACAGCCGACAGGCTTTGCCAGAATTTCTGTCTTAGACACAAACCACAGGCCCAGCTCACACCAAGGTCAGTGTGAATTCCAGAAAGAAGGGAGGGGGCGTGGCCAGTTACGTGGGGGTCTCATCATTTGACTGTGACACATATAAATTTTTTTACTGAAAAAAGTATAACATTTGTTTCTTTAAAACATGAAAATAAGCCACCAATATAATTTATGTTATGAACAACCTGAGAGCTAAATGATTTGTGAGCTGAGCTCCAGCAAGGAGAGTAAGGGTAAGACAAAGGCCAAGAGAAATGAAGAACTTCAGGAGGAAACTTGCCATTGTGGTGGGGGATAGATCGGGAAGGGAACTCTGATAATAGGGATGAAAAGGTGCAGAATTTGAAATAATTGTGCCTGCACATCGCAGAGCTTGGCCACTACATTGTCCTACCAACAAGACAGTGTCACAGGAGGGCACTAACGAAAATGCAATAACCAAAATTAATAACTTATGTAAGATTTAAACTGCTAAGTAAAGACAGCAAATAAGATTAAAGAGAACTTATGAGGTCCATTGAGGCATAAGCAATCTTAAATCTTAGGTCACCACTCTCCAGTCCCCCAAATCATTTACACATGGCATAGCATATCCATCAAGCCTGTGATTCTCACCCCTGGTCATCTGCAAGGCTGAATCTCAGGTCAAGACCCAACCTTGATGGAACTCAACACACAGTTGCAACCAGGCCCTCAAACTCCTTGTCACTTCCCAGATCTAGTCAAATCTCATTTGATAGAGCCTAAGCTAGCTCAACTGTGGTGCTACAGGCCTTGCCAAATACTCGCTACTTGGGGGTCAAAGAGATAGTAAAGTGGGTAGGATGCTTACCTTGCATGTGGCCACACCTGAGTCTATCACCAGCACCCCATTTTGTCCCCCAAGTCCACAGGAGTGATATCAGGGCACAGAGATTGAGTATAGAATAAACACAATCTGAAATCAAGTCCAGCTATACACGAATCATGACTTAAGGAAAATTAATCCTATCTGTTCAAGAATCTGTTTATTGCACCTTTTAAGAATGCAATAAATTTTGGAGAACAACTAAGGTATTAGAAAACAACTGCTTGAAAAAGGCAAAAGGGCAAGTTTTAAAAAAAATAAGTAATGAAAACTATGACCCTCAAAGGAAAAAAACTGAAATGAGAAAAATACAAAGGTTAATTGAGTACAACTGAAAATACAGATACCCAAAAAACACCAACAAACACAGGCACCTGTGAAGCAGGAGAGCAAGGAATACTCATAAGTATATCTGTGTAATTAGGAAGGAAAACAAAACTAGGATTATCAGATGGGAAATAAATCTATGAAGTGAGATAAAATGATACTTTTAAAGTGACTCAGTATCCAGAAAGAGCGGGATAGACACAGAAAGATTGCATTCATCTGGGGAACATAAAGCAACATAAAGGGAGACTAACACCCAGGAATGGCTGAGATTAGTACCAGGAATTTTGCTCCATGACTTGAAGGCCAGCCACACGTGCTAGGTGAAAAGGAAGCTCAGATAGAGAAGAGAGCACCAAATAAAGGGTGTTATGAGGACCCTCCCAGGGTGGGAGAAGCATGCTAAAAGTAGTCTATAGACCAAACATGATTGACACTCAATGCCTTTCTTGCGAAACACAGTACCCAAAAGAAGAGAGAGAGAACAAGGGAGAATGCCCTGCCACAGAGGCAGGGTGGGACGGGGGGGGGGGGGGGGATGGGGGATGGGAGGGATGCTGGGACCCGTGGGGGTGGAGGATGGGCACTGGTGGAGGGATGGGTACTTGATCATTGTATAACCGAAACCCAAGCACAAAAATTTATAAGTCTATAACTGTACCTCATGATGTTTCACTAATAAAAAATAAAATTAAAAAAATTTAAAAATTAAAAAATAAAGTGACTCAGTATCAAATATTGATGTAGCTACACCTCTATGTCAATATGATATACAATATTATACTGAGTGAAGACACTAGACACTAAAGAATACAA